TCTTTCAGCATTTCTCGGCATTCCTTGTAAGATCTCATCCGATCACTCCCCACACTCATTGACCCCCTGAGCACGCTGATGACTTGTGTTCAGCTGCCGCCAAACAGTGCCTCCAGGGCCTTTTTCACCAGGCAGTTTTCCAGCAACTGCCCCGAGCCTGTAGCACTGCATGGGAATTGTTGTGAACAAGGACAGGACCTGACACTTGACCCTCTTGAACCTCATAGCGTTGGCCTTGGCCCATCATTCTGATCTGTCCAGATGTCTCTGTAGAGCCCTGCAGTCCTCCAGCACATCAGCGCTCCCACCCAACTCTGTGTTGTCTGCAGACTGAGGGTACCCTTTCTCCTTGTCCAGACTGTATCTTGCCTTTAAAGATATTAAACAGGATTGGTCCCAACACTGAGCCCTGGGGGACCCCACTGGTTGGATGTAACTCCATTCACCACCTCTGCTTGGGCTTGGCCAGCCAATTTTTAATCCAGTGGAGACCACACCCATCCAAGCCATGAACAGCCGGTTTCTCTAAGAGAGTGCTGGAGGAAATGATGTCTAAGCTTTATGGAGGTGTAGGTAGACAGCATATACAGCCTTTCCCTCTCATCCTTTATGCAGGACACCCTGTTATACAAGGAGATCAGGTTGGTCAAGCAGGACCTGCCTTTCCTAAACGCATTCAGGCTGGGCCTGATCCCTCAGTTGTCCTGTACATGCAGTGTGATGGCATTCAGGATTATGAGCCAATTGCTGTTAATGACACTTGACTGAACCCAGTAGGTGAGTTTTCTTGTAATGTTATTGCACTTTTAGGGAATGGATCTTACAGAATTATTGCTAAAACTCAGGGATTGCTCTAAAAGTTGAAAGTGATTGTCAAGAGAAATTTGTAGTGACCCTTGGGGAAGCATCAAGGGAGTTGGAGCTGAAGGGATGTGCTAATTCCCAAGGAGGCCTGAAAGGCTGAAATTGCAACAGCTGCAGCCTATGAGTATTTTGTCCTGAACAGAGTAGGATAGCCTGGAGAACATACTTAAGCTTGCTAGATTCTACCTTGTTTGGTGCGTGGCTTTGTTACTGGTAGATGCTGTTATAAAACCCCATCTCTGACTGTACTGTTAAAGTCTGGTGAAGAATATGGGTGATAAAAGAATAAGGAAGTGGTGGCTTCTTACACTCAAGTAAGTATAACAAATAGTTCACTGTCAGGTATTTCCTCAGGGATAAAGATCCACGAGTGGCAGTAATTTGCTTTCCAGTTTCTAATAACAAAAAAAGCTCTCCAGTAGTTTGTTGGCCTTTAAGGTGTGATATCAAGATATTACTAGTATACAGCATATTGCTGTACATCACTTGGACTGTATCCACCTTTAGTTTGCCTTGGGGCTGTTTGAAATAACAGCAACTCTAAATACTCTAAAAAGCAAAATGGAGTTTAAAAGAAGAAAGATATTAAAAGTCAAAAGCATGAGCCATAAAGGCAGATGTTCTGCTCTTGGAAAATGCAACAGTATGTTTGGATATGACTTATTTTACTGGACAACTGTTTGTTATGTTCTCCTTAAAATATAGATAGGCAAGTAGGTGTATATGCAAACTCTATTTAAAACATTAACACTTTTGCTGATTTTTTCTATAATTTAGCAAGTTTAACCGATGGGGTCCTAACATTTCTTCCTCACTTAACAGTGTTTGAAAATAACGTTTTTCTGTGACATGAGCAATGAAGTTTGGCCTGTGTCAGGAACTGGAGGCTGTGCAGGCATAAGCAAATAGCTTCAGTGCAATTTTAAATGTCAAAACTGGACTTCAAGAACATTCAGTGATCCTAAAAAAGCCAGCAGAAATTTGTGGCAACTCATATCCTGTTCTGTTTCAGCATCAACCTATCTGCCTCCTGCAGAGTGCCAATGCTTGTTTAACTGTGTAATTATGGAAACTGATAGCATGTGGCACAAGAAAGGGGAGAAGCGTATGTGCCTATAAAGGCCAGCTGCTGACCCGAGAGTCTAGTTTGATTGGGCTTCTAGTGAACAGAAAAGAGTTCCTACTCTGACATGCTTCTGGAAGAGCCCCTCTTCCACCTGTATCTTCAGAGAGAACCTAGAGTGAACTCCTCTCAGAGCTTCTGTGAAGTGTGGGCATATGTGGTAGGTGCAAAGCAGCGTTCAGCTCCTGTCTCTGGTGTGTGAGAAGTCAAAGTGGAGTGATCTCCAGTCAGATCTGTGGTGTTGGAAAATGGCTGTAATAATAGTGCCTTCCTTTTGTAGGTTTCCAGATGCTTTAGAAAAGTTCATGTAATAGCTTATCTTGAGTTTAAACTTCTTGTTTTGTTTTCCTTATGTTTCAGGTCTACCAGTCATGAAACGAATTCTTCTGTTTTTTATCCTGGCTGCTGCTGTTATGTATGGTATACTGCATGGAAATCTGTGGAGAAATAATCTCTACTGGTATGGTGATGTTTTGTTCAGACACCTCATGCCTGTAATGAGAGATGTAGCTGTGAGTTGCTATGTTGCTCATTAACTGCTTATTAGTAATCAGCAGAAATCATTACTACTCTATCTCTGTGTTTGTTCTGTGCCTGGGGTTTTTTTGTACTGTAAGGGAGTCAGTATGATTGTTCTGTCCTGTTGCCCCTTCTCTTGTGTCGCTTTTAAACCTAGTAATCAATGTGAGCCTGGTTGTATGGAGAGGTCAGGACCTCACAGATAGGGAGCCCCTCTGAAGTTCGTGAAAATGGGTGTTCAGGTGAGGAAGATACCTTATTTCTGTGTGTCATGTGTCCATATCTCCCTCTATCCCATGCGTGTTTAGTGTTAGTTTGTTCCTTTAAGTGTCTGATAAGTGACGTGGGAGAGGCCTTGTCCACACATGGGAATAACTGCAGGTGCAGTGGGCACCTTTTGCAGAGCTGAAATTTGTGGAGCCCAGTGGCAACCCTTGTGGCCTTCACTGTCTCCAGGCTCACAGAACAAGTGGCTTGGGACCTAAAATTCAGGGCGCTTACTTGAGGAAGTTGAGTTTCCATTGGCATTTGCACAGCTGTGACCAGGGCTGACCAGAGTGTTATGAAAATAATAGTGGTAGCATTTAAAAGTAGTGATTGATATGCCTACTTTTATCTTGTTTATAGCATACAGTTGATACAAATAGCTTTCTGTTGTGGTTTCTGTTCACAGCAAACCACAGTGTTATGAAATTTCCGTTTTTGCAGGATTAGCTTTTATGGACAGACTTCCTCTGTGGGGGCTTCTCCTTCCTATGTGACTAGTGGACTTACCCAGTAAGTTCAGCAGTTGAGTATTTTTGTGGGGTTTATTTTTGGTTGGTTTTTGGGCAGGTGGGAGGGATTGAGGCTAAAATCTGTAGTCTTTGTCCACAGGCTCCCTGTTCAGTTGGTTATTGTACACCCGTGTCCAGTGGCTGTTTCTGTTATGAACACAATGGTAACATGTCTGTCAGAAAGGAATTTGTCTTATGTCATGTTTCCAGTGTTTGTTTAATATTAATGGCCACTTCCAGTGACTGTAACAGTGAATTTTTGGAGGAACATTGGTTTACAGTTTTCAATTGCAGTTCTGAATTATAGATGAATAAAATCAGCAGAGCTAAGAGGGCTACTTTTGTGCTTAAAATTTATTGAATCAAGTGTGTTTCACTTGTGACGTGCAGGTGCCTGCATAAGCAGATCTTGTGCTAGTGAATTCCTGCATTTAGGTTTGTGGGACTAATGAGCACCTATGTTGAAGCTTAAAAGCAGTCCTCTGTTCTCTCTGAAGCCATGCTGCAAAATGCCATCTGTGAGGCTGACGCTGGGAAGCAACAAAGTGGCGAGCCGATAGATTTCACAGGGTGTTTTCTCAGTGTCAGTATTCACATGACAACTTCAGGTTACCAAAAGCAACTAACCTTAATGGTCTGTTTGACCTATGGTTCTAATGTGGTGGTTTCATCCTTCCGTTCTTAATGCAGTCCAGATGAACACGTTGCTCACACTGAACTTTACCTTCCCGTCTGGGTTTCATATTTGTGATTATTGGGCTAAATCACCAAGGCGGGAATGTGCTTAGAAGTGTAAGTCTTAGCTTTATTACTAGAGGAATGACTTATCCCCAAAGAATCTAACTTTATTCTTAAAGTACTCTATGTAGTGCTGTCTGCTTCCCTCTTCATCCAAGACTCCATCTCCTCTCTGAGGAGTGCTGGGGATGCTATCTTGTATGGTTGCAGGGGTAATTCAGCCCAGGTCTCCTTCTTTTCTGGAGGTGGGCTTGAGTTCTCTGCTGTGGTTATGCCTGCTTTGATACTTGCTGAGCAAGGGAGGTGCTGTCCCTTTGGAGCAGCACTGTGAGATGAAAGCCTTTATTAGTTAAAGTAGTTGTGCTGCAATGAGAAAGTTCCATCCTTACAACACAGGCAGAGGGAGTCATGAAAATTTGGTGTGACATTAGCTCAGTAATCAGCTTTTACTACTTTGGCTTGCCCAAGTTTCCCTACCTTGTTTCTGCATCCCTTTCCTTTTCTTACTGTTTCTTTGCAAATCTTCTTTTGCAGGCTGCCACCTACGGCTGTGGAGAGAAGGAGTTCGCTGGACACTTGTCTCCTGAAACCAGCATTTGAATCTTTACTGGGGTGAGTCTTCTGTGGGAACTGGGGGGGAAGGAAGGGCTATGCTGATTGGGCTGTTTACGTGTTTTGGAGCAAACATTGAGCAATGCCTTGAGAAGGCTTGGTAAGATGTTTAGACCAAGTCCTGGCTGAAGAAGTCTTAAACCTCTGCACAAAGACACCATGGCTTTTTTTTTTCCCCTGGTACGTTTTGTGTACAAGAAAATGTGTCTGTAATTAGTACTGCTGTTTCTTTGTAAAGAACATGGAAGGATGTAAAATTTGTCCTACACAAAGCAGATTTGTAGTCTGTGAGTTTTGCTTAGCTCCTGGTCCAGTCTGGTGGTCTTAGTTCCCCTTGCCCACAGACTGTGCCCAGGCTTGTCTGTGTGTTGGGCTCAGCAGGATAGCTCTGTTTCTCAGCAGGGGTGCAGGAATGGACTCAGGTGCACAGCAAGAAGCTACATGCAGAGCGAGGGCAAAGTCTTCTGTACATTTCTGTAGCTCCTTTACTGAGACAATTTGCATGAGCTGAAGATCTGTTCTGTGCACTTTTGCTAATAGCCTGGGGAGATTGAAAGGATTTCTAAACTTGCAGAATTATTTGTTGGAAAGGAACCAGAGCTAGGAGAGCTGGAATTAAGAATCTCTTTGCAGTAGGTAAATTAGCTTACCAGCTGCTTCTGAACAGCAAGACAAGTTACTAAATTTAGTATGGGTGTTTAGTGCGTCATGTCTCAAAGTTAGTTGGTCTTGCTTAGTTAACCTGTGGCCCAGTTCTTGGAGTGTAGGCTGTGGTGTTTGTTTATTTTTCCTTTTTCCTGTTAGTATCTTCTGAATATGTAGAGCGTAAAGAGTGAAATACTTGATTTGTGAAACTGAGAGTGAAGGTTTTCTTAACAGCCATTAATATTCTTCATGGAAAAACAAGTCTGTGCTGGCTGGGGGTTTTTATAATTAACACTAGGTTTTCTCATGACTGTATATTTCTGTGTTAACATTTTAATGTAAGACTCAGTATGCAGGATCACTACAAAGTCAACCAGTACAGTGCGTGTGTGCTTAGTTAATTTAAAGGTGAAGCCAAGGGCATGGTAGCATGTGACATGTTTGTGTCTACTGTTCATTCATTGGCTTGGACTGGGCAGATAAGGTAATAAGAGTCCTTTCCCTGCTATGAGATATTCCTTGTCTGAGGTTCCTGTCATTTGAAGAAAGAAGTGAGTCATTCTTTTTAGCTTGATGCTTACAAGGCATCATACTGTCGTGTTCTGGTTTGCAGGAAGGATGTGCTTTTGAGGCAAACCTCCCTGTGATCCCCTTGGGTTGTGCTTCTTCCAGGGTGGCCCTGGCATGTGTGCACTCAGGCTTCTTTCACACATCTGGTTAAACCAGAAGATGCTCTTCAGGATTGCGCCCGATGTGCTGCAGCTGCTGAGGGGTGTTCAGTCCATGTGACCTGATCAGAATTAGTCCAGAATAAGAAATACTCAATAGGCATGTGATGTGGACATGAGAGCTCCATACTTTTCTGCAATATGGATATACCTATGTTGCCCCAACCTACTTATTAATGTCAACGGAGCCATTGTTTGGAATGGGAGTACATCTCAGATCAGGAGATGGTATTTTCAAGTTAAAACACCTTGTTTCAAATCCCATTCTTACTTATTAAATTGCCATGTACAATACTCTTAATTATCCTTGCTGCCTCTGTTATGTACTTTTCAAACTTGAAGTTACTCATTGTCATCCTGAGTCATGTATTCTCTTGAATATATGGTCTAATGGTGTAAGCTTTCAGTCACACAATTTTAATGATGATTTTAATGACTCTATATAACTTACACTAACAGACAAATCTTTTTATCTCGCTCTTTATTTACATTTTCTAAGATCTTCCCCTTTTCTATCATCTGCTTGCTTTCCCTGGGTTCATGGATTTCCTTCTTCTAAAAATGGATGCTGGTAATAGGATAAAAATCACAATAATAGGATAAAGAAAGCTTTCTATGAAGCAATTGCATGAATTATTTGCTCATGCAGATGCTTTATGTGGATTTTTGAAACTTCTTTCTTTTTCAGTGTTGACAAAATATACCCATTCCTGTGTGCTAATGATTTTATCAGAGTGGCGGAGTTCCAAGGGAGCGATAAGTTTGAACTACCTTATGGAATAAAGAGAGCAGGTTAGTGTTTTCCATGTACCTATTTTTAAACAGAAATTACTAAATGGCTTTTAAGGCCCCTGAATCTGGACCTGGTCTTTTCTGTTAACTGATGCCAATTCTTTTGGGGGTGTCTAGCACTGACTTAATGGTTTTGTTTCCTCGCTCTGACCTGACACCTTCTGGTTTCTAAAAAATAAAACACCCTGTTGGGGTTGCCCCTCTTACTAGAGGAGCTCCAAAAAGGTAGGAGTGAGGAAGAGTTGACCTTATTCAGCTTCCTTTTGTTTGGATGTGGTCTGGAGCGCTAAAGATAATTAGCTAGTGATTTGCTAGGTCAGATATTAACTGGGTCAGTGTGATGGGCTTCATTCAACACCCCTAAGATGATTGGGATACGGTGTCCTACTGAGGCAGAAGTCCTCAGGTTGGGGCAGTTACATCAGTGAAATTTTCCATTGACTGTCCTGGTTTTGGCTGGAATAGAGTTAATTTTCTTCTTAGTAGGTGGTACAGTGCTGTGTTTTGAATTCAGCGTGAGAATTGTGTTGCTAACACATGGATGTTTTACTTACTGCTAAGTAGTGCTTACCCTAAGTCAAGGACTTTTCAGTTTCCCGTACTCTGCCAGCAAGCAGGTGCACAAGAAGTCTCAAGTTTTTAACACTGAATAGTGCACCTTCCAAGTATCCTGCAGGTCCTGGCTTTAGATTCTTGATTTGGCCTCGATGAGAGGGATAGTGCAAATTTTCCTGCACCTCTGGGTTTATAGTGGAAAAGCACATTTGGGAATGAGTTGAGACTTCCTCTCAGAGGCAAATTGAATGCTCATCAGGAGGCTGCTCACCAAGGGAGGGCTGGGAAGATGCCTCTGCCCAGCTTTGCCAGCGGGCACAGGCTGGTTTGATGTCTTTTTCCTCGATAGGTAATGTTTTTATTGTCCCTGACTGTATGACCCCTCTTGGGTCATGGCTGCTTCTGTTTCATCTGAAGGTGGGTAGAAGGAAAAAGTCAGTTAGAATGTAGGTCTAGGAAATTCTTCCAGTCTTTACTTACTGTAACTAGGATTTATTTTTTATACAAATTCCATGATATTTTCCAACAGGGAAGTACTGAGACAGGATAAATTTAAGAGAGGAGCTCTGATAAACCTGAATTTCTTCGGCATCACTGATTGACCTGTGGCCCTAAATTTAAGTATTTTTAAGTTGATTTTTTTATGCACAGTGAATGTAAAACTACGGTGTATGAAAATACTGTAGTCAGGATGACATGCTTATTTTTGTATCGGCAAATACTGAATATTTTCATTAATCTTCTTTGTATTTGCTTTCTAGAGCAGTTTTTTCGTTTAGCCCTTTCAAGACTGCAGAGCTGTGGACTTCCCAATGAAGATGACAAGTGAGTTGGTTTATTTGCTACTGTTTCTGTTAATTGCATTTTGTATATTTGGTACTTACCTGAAATGGAATTTCGGTGGCGTTATTCTGAAATTGCCCAAGTTAGCCAGGATTACAGATGGGACCAACAGTGTCCAAGCAATGTGTAACCGATCCAAGATTTAAATAAGCTTGGGTTTGCACATGTAGCACCAGCATTCCAGAATAATTTTTCTGTGAAGGAGCTTAAACTTACAGATTTCTTTTTGTAAGTGTGTTAGGAATTTGCTGGCTCAATGTGGTCCCATCTTCCATAGTATCTTTTTATTCTTAAAAATGGAGTGTGACCTCTGCTTTCAGTCATTATTAGCATAAGATGGATACTGTTGGAGATAAGCAGATGCAAACCACTGGCTGCTTCTGTGTAAAAGAAATCTTACGCATATCCCTGTGCCTCTGCATCTTCTGGCTGCTGCACACCCTTCTTGGTACATGTGCTCAACTTCCTTCCCTTGTGAATGGGGGAGAGGTAGGCAGACAGGAAAGGCTGTTCCTGCGTTTTTGGAGTAATGAGGGTGTGGCATGGAGTGGACGTTGCCTGAGATAACTTGCTTCCCATGGATTAGATTACCTGGATTAAGCCTCTTGCTAGAGGCCACTTCTGCCAGGATTTTTTGTTTGGTTTTGGAGGATCTTTTCTGCGTGTGTGTGTCTTGTTGTTTTTTTTTTTTTTTTTTGGGTTTGGTTTTGGTTGGGGTTTTTTTAGAGTTACTGTAGTAGTGTTGGCAATTAGACTAGAATCCTGTGTTTACAGAGTGATGCAAATGACTCCTTAGATTTGCAATCTAGCAAACTGGCTGACAGCCTGCCAAATATGTTAATACACAGACTTCTTAATAGAGCTGAATGCAAATAAGGCTGAAGTTGGCTGTACTCGGTTTTGTTTTTTTTTTTAATTCAGGACATCATACAATATTGCTGCTTCAAGCCAAATGTCAGGATCACATTTTAATCTGACTTAGGTGGAATGTGTTCACACTTAAGAACTGCTTTTAGTAGCTTTTTTTCTTTGCTTACTGTACTCCTTCCTTTCACTGTGTTCAGTATCTGTTTCTAGGATGTTCAGGTTTATTCCCACCCCCCCATCTTCTATTAGGAGTGTGATAATGGAGGAAATTTATACAGAACTGGCTGAAAAAGCTGGTCTTTGTCTGAAGTTTGAAGGAGAGTGCCAAAATGTTGTATTATTAGAAATTTTCTGAAGTTGTAAGTTCAGCTCTGTAATTGTTCAGGCTGTAAAGCAGAGATGCTTCCAGTACAGCATAGTACTTATTAAATGTGTCTGTCCTGTAGATGAGAATTAAGGTAATTGGTATTTATCCTTTGATAGTTCTGGGAAATAGGCTTCATTTTATTAAAAATAATGTAGTTCAGCTGTACTGAAGCAAAATGAGCGTTATTACTATTCAATAGGCAGTAGGATAAGCAAATCAAATTCAGAGTGAGTTCATATTTTACATTCTTTCTAGATCCACCAGGTTTTGTGTATAGCACTCTTAGGGCATGAATCACTGTAATAGGGAAGAACTTTTATATATACATTAGTCTGAGATGCAATTACTTCTAAAAGTGAAATGTTTTGGGAATTAATCCTGACAACATTCTCCAGTAATACAGAATTATTAGGCAGCTCTGTAATGTTGTTGCCTAATTCAGCCTTCTCATAAGAACACAAACCAAATTTCCCTTTAAAAATTTTTGGAGTCAGAGTGGGGGAGTCTGCTATGAGCTGTTTGAACACATACTAGGCTGTACGAGCACCAAATCTATGGGTGTATTTGTGTACGACTTAAGTAAAACTGTATATGATGAACTACAAGGGATTTTTTTTTTTCCCAAACAGTGCTGTTTTCCAAATTTAGATCGAGTTCTCACTGTGTAAAGGTGTAGTTCTCCAAAACTGTTTGGAAATGAACAGTGTCACTGACTCCAGTTCAGTTGTGACTTCAGTTCCTCTCTGAGTATTCTTAGGACTCTAAGCTCAACAGTTATTACAAATACATTTACACAATCCTGAGTCAACAAAATGTGACCTCTGCATCCTCCTTTCACCAAATAATGTCAAAGGAAATAATATGCATTCTTCAACAGACTATAAGGGGGGGTGTGTCAGAGGATCTGAGGTTGAGATCTTTTTCCACAGAAACAGTATTTCAGTGGAATGTGGATGGTGCAAGCCTCTTGACTTTTAAAGGCATTTAAATTTCCATTTAGCAGTATTTTGCTTTTATAGAGTAGGAGAATGTTCCTTTTAGCACTTTACAATATAAACAAAGCATGTGAACTAACGCCTGGCCTTGAGGTTGAGGCTCTTGTACACCGCGTGAATAGGGCGGTGGTTTGAATGACTGGTGTGTGTAGACATTGGCGATCAGCTGCCATGCTGTGTGCATCAGGATCTGTTTATACTCTTAAGTAGATTTCTAACACCTAAAGGGAATCCCTTAGTCACTCAGTCTTTTGCTATAGCTATTTTTACAGCCAAAGTCTTACTATTTTTAATGAAGATTGTCATGGATGTTTTGCTGGTGATTGTAAGCTGAACCTCCAGGCAATTCAGTCTGTTATATTTCACTTGTAGCACACCTGATATTGTTTAAGGACATCTGAATTTATTTCTCTTCTTGTCCATTTATTGACTTGGAGAAAGGGTGGGTGTTTGGGGGTTTTTAATTTGAAAACGTTATGTAAAAGGAAAACTTGTAAATCTGGGAGTAACAATCTGCTGAAAATTGATACGTTGACTTCTGTGATCTGTAGTAAGTATGGGTCAGTTTATTTAACTTTAGTATCTCTGAATACTATCTAGCGTTGCTATATGTTCTTTATCTCCGTGTCATATGTTAGTTTCTATGATATTATGTTCTATTTTTTACATAAATCATTTTCCTCACTGCTTATAGTTGTCAGTGGACTCTGTGTTACTGAGGACTTAGATTTACTATTGTAACTGAAGACACTTGAATACTGGGGGCGGGGAGGAGGGAAGATAAGGGAAGGAGGCGATTCCAAAATAACACATTTGTGCCTTATTTCCTGTTTGACTTTTCCTTTTAGGCTGCTTTGACTGACTGAGCTTGGCAGAGATTAAAAGCTGATCGTTCTAATTCATTTGTTTGTATTTGACTGCATTCATGTACAGTTCTCCAGGATCTGCATATTGACTTTATCCATTTCAAAAGTTCAGATACCAATGTTAGACGTTTTATTGGGTATTTGAAGGCAGCTGATAACTTGATTTTTGAGTATGCGTGTTACAAAGTGAACTGGAGTTCAAAAGATTAATCAGAGTTCAAATGTCACTTCGTTTTCTGCCCAAGTAGTCAACTCTTAATCACAAACAAAGAAATCTGATCTGCATTTGTCAGTAAGAGGAAAGAGGATTTGACCTGAGAGCAGCTGCACAGCTTCTATAGCTAAGTGAACCTCAGTTGCTCAGCTTAGGTCACATTTTATTTTACCCTCCCTGCCCTGAGTGTGTCCTGGTGCATTATGATTGCAGAGAGGAGAAGCCAAAGAGCTCTTCAGTTGTATGCCAGACCGAGAGGCATTATTTCAATAGCTAAGTATTAACTCAGTGAAGAAACTTCTTAAAGCACAGCCTCTGCCAAAAATTGAAAGGTGTGTAAATAAAGAATCTCTTTAATTCATCTCCAAGGGACAGAAAAAGCAGTGCCTCCTCAAAGTAACTTTGTGGTTGCTTGTCATGGTCAGAATAACACAAATCACTTGTAACGGAGTTGACACCCTTTTTGTGCATTCACACCAAGCAGTCAGTGGGCATAAAAGAAAGTATTTGACAAGATTAAAAACAGTTTTTCTGGCTTTTTATTGAGACCTGACATGAGTTCATGCATGGTGTGTCCGTCACTGTCACTCCATGGTATCCATGAAGCATCAGGGATGGACGCTCTAGCCAGGAGAGAGCAGGGGGAGATGGAATATGGGTTGCAGTTTAGGATTTGCGTTGTGGAGATGAGGTCTGTGCCTCAGTTACCCAGGTGCAACCACGTGACTTTTGGTGACGGTGAATTCAGAGATTTGAGGTGATTGAAACTTTCAGTGATTTACAGATGCACGCTGTAAATGCCAGGAAAATGCAGTACAACCGTAATAATTCTGTGCTTTTTGCTCCACTCCCTCATTCCACCTTCATCACTTACTGATCAAGTTTTTTTAATCCTGTTTTTGTTTTTTCTTCCTTACTTTGAGCTCTATGCTGTAGCTGTAACAAAGTGTAATTCAGGAAAAGGGCAACTTCTGCTTTCTCTTACTGTGCACTTTGTACGAGGCATATGTTTGTCTGCCTGCTTTCTCAGGATACCTTAAAACTAGATATAAAAACTAAATGGAAAATGAATGGACTGAAGGAGTAGAGAGATGGAGGGGTTTTATGGGTGTAGAGGGATTGGCCATACTGCGGGACGGGATGGTGTAACAGGTTTTTTTACCCTTCTTATTTCCGAGGTACCAAGTCACATGATTTATGGTGTTAGTTGGAAATCTTTTTATGAATGCTTGCCTTCTACTAAGCTGTTCAGGAAACACTAAAGAAAGGTGGTTTTCCATGTCACCAACCCTGAAAGCTGCATTTACAGCATTATTTATATTTATATATATTTAAAGGCAACTCCCTCTGCAAATGTTGTTAATTCTGTAGGAGGTACAGAGAACTGCTTTGTACACTGAGATGTTGGTCAGTCTTGGGTGGAGCAGGCTGTTTTCGTTGATGTTGAATAATATTCTCAGCTGAAAAAACAGGTTGGACAATCTGAGGAGAAAAATCTTAATTAATGTGCATAAAGTGCCACACTGGGCACTTAATACCAGTTATAGTATTCTTTGGGACACAATCTCGGTGTCTCAAACATAGAGCAAGAAATGACATAGAGCCTTTTTCTTACCTGAAGAAAGAACCAAGAGAGGGGGACGTTGTGAGGTGACTCGTTCTCAGTAAACAAACTGTGAGCTTCTGTCTGAAGAAAATACCAACATTCTCATTTTCCCAGTGCTCCTGCTGCAACCAAATTGAACGGCTTTTGCTCTAAATAAAGAAACATTTTTGCAACAACAAAAAACCTCGTGCTTATTTTATAAGGAGGAGTTTACAGTTTTATACATTGAATGTAAACCTTCTTTAAAAAGGCAAAATATCTGGAGTAAAAAAGCAGCAAGCTTGTCTGTGAGCTCCCCCTTATATATATTTTTTTTAAACAAAGCACACATTTTACTAGCATTGTAATAAGACATTAGAGAGCAAAGTATGCACATAGAAAACCGAAAAACCTGGGATAACTTACCATTAGAATTTACTTTCATAAGTTTAACATCTATATAATGCCTTTTTTGGGTACTCTTTATATGTAAATTCAGAAGGAATTACAGTTTTGATTTGAAGTAGGTTTTAAGATCTTATTTTTAACTTGCAGCATTTTATATGGTTAGTGGAGCTGTCTGATTTGAATCTGGTCCTATGAGAATGCAACTTTTAATCAGATGAATCTACCTTGTCACATTATGACAGCATGAAATTCAGCACACGTTGAAACATGTTTAGACAGCACTTTTTAAATAAAGAGAGAAAAATCAAGATCATATTCATTTGAAAAGCCATCACATGTCATTGGGCAAAGGTTTTTCACATGTACAGTCTGTAAGGTAAATTGTGAACATAAATCTTGGTGCTGTAGCTCGTTTTGGAGATCTCCTGAATTACGGAGTTATACAATGCTGTGGAGCACCCTAATTTGAGTTAGTTTTTCCAGACATACTCTGTCCTGGTTGATACCCCCAGACTGGGATAAGTTTGAAGTACTGTGGAAGATAATTTATGTAATGGCCCCCATATCACCAACTGGTTAGATGATCTTAATCAGCAAACCATTAGAAAAATGATGTGTGTAACAACAGTTTCACGAGAGAAGCCAATTCCTGACTTTGCCAGTCCCTGAAATAGTGCAGCTGCTTTTTCTTTTTTTGAAAGCAGCCATAGTAGATGATACAGGATTGAATCTGCTTTGTAGGGGCCGGGACGGTAAAAGATACTGAACATCCATTAGAAAATAAACTAGTTAAATGCAGATGTATAATTAATAATATGAATCCAGGGAAGTAATGAATATTAAAACTTCTGTTTGTTCCACAGCATTGCCTGTCGTCGGTGTGTTGTGGTCGGTAATGGAGGAGTACTTCGAAATAAAACACTAGGGGAGAAAATTGATTCATATGACGTCATAATAAGGTACATGGTATCTCCTTTTCAAATTGTGTACCTGGAGCAATGGGTGCTTCTCCAAGCCAGATATTTTCTTTGCCCTTCTCTAGTTTCTGTGTTTGAACCAAATCGGAAGGCCTTCTGTTTGAGTGACACATGATAAGCAATTGTGTGATTGTATTCTAAACCACCTTGGCCAAGATCCCATATGTGCTTGATCCCTCTGAGCTTAGAGGGTGAGTGCACCTGATAATTGCTCATCTACTATGTAACGTGATAAGTAAATGCTGGGCTGGTAAACTTTCCTGTCCCTGGACGTGCTGTCTATCCCACGGACTAATGTGTGTGCCAGACACCGCATGGTAAGGATGTGGTGGGGTAGTCATTGATGTCTGTGTGTCTCTGTCCTGTGCCTTCTGCAGAATGAATAATGGCCCCGTTATAGGGTACGAAGAGGATGTTGGGAGGAGGACGACTTTCCGCCTTTCTTACCCGGAATCTATCTTCTCAGATCCGATCCACTACGACCCTAATACAACTGTTGTTCTCGTTGTCTTCAAACCACGTGACTTGAAGTGGATTTGGAAGATCCTAAGTGGTCAGAAGATAGTGAGTTTAATTGTTCGTGCACCTTGGCTCATCTTGCCGCACACCTTTCATGGGAAATGCATGTTTGCTTTTAACCTCAGTCCTCCTAGCTCAGGGGAGCACTTGATCTCCTAGTCAGTCTGTTTAAAATCCTTCCCATAAATGCTTCTGTCTTCTTCCTAATGCACATATTTGATCAGTTCCTCACCACAAAGCAGTTTTCCTCTGGGAAATATATTTTTATTCTCTTCCTGGCACTGTCTGGTATTTTGCCATGCATGCTTCAGACAGTACAAAGTACTTGAGAACAGTAACTTCTGTCTGCCTGTTGTCTGTGCTGTACCTAATGTGTCCAAGCACACAGTGAACATTTACTGCTTCCAAGGCATGCTGTTGGTATGAGTTGTCCATTAGGGACCTTTCTGCAAATCCTTTTTCCAGCCAACTGTACCCAACCTGTGCTGCTGCAGTGGGTTAATCTGTTGCAGGAGGTGTTTTTGAACTTCTGGAGGTTCAGCACTCCTTCCTTAATCTCATGCCCTTGGAGTTTACTCTGGTTAGCTACAAAACTAAATTCAGCTGTTTATAGCCCTTAAAAATGTGTATTTACTTGCCTGTTACAGAGTGATAAAGGCTTTTGGAAGAAACCAGCTAAGAATATGATATACAAATCTAGTCAAATCAGGATTCTTGATCCCAGCATCACCAGGAAAACAGCTTATGAGTGGCTTCGTTTCCCAACAAGGTTTCCTAAGAAGGAGGTAGGCTTTTTTCTTCATTGCCTTTTAGTTTTGAGTCACCAAATATGTACTTAGAGGCAATTATATCTTTATTACAGTGGACTGTATTAGAAAATCTTTCAGGTTTGCATTAAAGTAGTTTGCATTTAGATGGTGCTCAGAAAAGCTGTGAAAATGGAATCCAGAAAGAGAGTGGTTATTCTTGTGTGCCAAAACCATTTTTTTATGGCTTCTGTAATTGGTATGACATGAGATCGCTTTCCAGAGAGACATAATGTCTATTACAAAATCGAGAAAAATGGGCAGGTAACGGAACCTGGGCGATCCAAAGAGCTTCTAGAAGTAGTAGGAAGTCTTGAATTATTGAATGCTAGGTGTTTTGTAGTGTTTCTTAAAAACAAAACAAAACCCACCAAACCCTACAAAACAACAAATAGGGAAGAAAACCCCTACTAAATCTCCCACAAAAAACCAAAACAGCAAAAATAACCCCACACTAAACAAACAAAACCCCCAAAACCCTAACAACCTGGTGATTCTAACACTGCTGCAATTTCACACTTCTGAGGAGGGACTAGGGAACATGCAGGATATTCCAGCCCTGTGCTAATGACATGTGTCTAGCAGCATTGTTATGCTTGCTGATTTGTTGCCAAGCGTTGTAATGAGCTAACCAGCAATTTGGACATAAAAATACATTTTAAGTGTCAGTTTATGACTGAAGAATGTTTCTGATGAAAGGCAAGGCTTCAAGCTGGAGACCTCCCTTGCGCAGTCAGGATTGACCACGTGCTGTTTAGCACAGATACAATTCCCTGGGGTCATATTGCTGCTTCATTGGCACCAGCCAACTGACACGTGTGGAAACGTTTGACAGGCTGTCACTGTGTAGTATCTGCCACAACTGTTTTTTTTTTTGTTTAACCTTTCTAATCTTTGAGGGAGTTGAGATTTTTTTTTCATTTGTTTGTTTGTTTCTGGGAGTTGCTTTGCCTTTTCTCTTTCTAAAATTTCAATCTGTTTTTTGAGTGTAATAGTGGCTTTTTTCTCCCTTATTAGCTCTGGAACTGAAATAGCCATCTTGGCTGTGTGCTTGCTGAGGCTCTGTGGCATTTCAGCTTTTCAGCTGAGGGAGGGAAGAAAGCAGCATAATAATTGGATGCCTAACTATCTCTTAAATGAGAACATCTGTGGCCTTCATGGGTCCAGAAATCTCTCCTGTCTCTTCTGGTGTAGATGTTAAAACCAGTGCTGTCAGTGAGTCAGAGAAGTGTGCTGGTGTCCTGAGGCTGGTACAGAGGCAGAGGTTTCTCGGTTGCCCTTTGCTCTCTAGGTGCCCCTGCACAGAGCTAGGGTAGAGCTTGGAGCCCCCTTCTGCCACCTCCAGTTTCCATTTGCTCCATCCCAGGGGTTTTGCAGTCCCTTGTCCCTGGGGCAGCAATGATCAGTCTAAGGCAGGCTCTTCTCACTTTCCCTCCCATCCTAGAGGTGATTCGTGGCTGAGAGCCTGCACATCTGCAGTGGCCCTGGCGCAGCTCAGTTAAGCTGCAGGTCGTGCCTCTTGGGTTCCCGTGGGCTGGACAACCTTTTGCAGAATTCACTTCGGGGCCCTCTGTACCGTAGCGTGTCCGTGGGGAGGGCTGGTGCTGCCTTCCCCGTCCTGTGCTTCAGCCCCCTCTGCCTGCGGAAGACGCCAATGACTGCTGCTGCTTTCCCAGCTGTCCCTGCCGCCTCCATTAAGCCAGTCTTACATTCTCAGTGTGCACGTTGTCCATAGCCAGCAAGCATTTCTGATTGTTAGTAGAGCCAGGAATAAAATTGGATATGTTGCCTCAAACAGCACTGAAGTCAGGAAGTGTTGAGAAGTCATTCCAAGGCTGTTCCTATTCTTGTTAAATGTGACTGGCTGAAAAAATTTCATTACAGGCTGGGGATGTCTGGATGTTGCTAGGGTGGTGTCATGATAATACATTTTAAAAGTATTTGCTTTTTAAACTATGTTCTTTTGAGGTGAGTTTTATGATAGCCAAAGGTGAACAGTGTTAGTTAAAAACTTGATATTCCTGATATTTCCAAATAGCACTAATCCTGAAGTGTAGCATTCCTGCCATAGTTTTGGGGTCCTGTTTAATATGGATGTTGCAACAGAGTCACCACTAAGTTTATGAAGTTGGGCCCCTAGGGCAGAAAGTTATTTTGCTAACTGGCAGGAGCCCTTGGCAACAGTGCACATTTGAAGCAGATGTTATTTCTGGAGTACTCTAAAAGTTGTATAAAGGAACAAAAAAATTCTACATAAAAGGTGATAGTTCAGTTCTATGACTTTAAATAGACTTACAGAGGTGGGGATAGTAGCATTTTCCTGGGGATTTTTTGTGTTATCATGTGATACAAAGAAACACATTGAGTGCGTCTGCACAGAGATGTCTAGTACTGGTTTGACTGCTTTGTTTTTGGAGACAAACGAAGTGAAACTTGGGTAAAAGTTTAAAAAATCCCACATCATTTTGTGCTCAGTTTGATGTTTGATTGCAGTTACCGATAGCACGTAGTTCATTTGGTCTCTGAGAAAAGTGTTATTTTAGCTAAGAAGAGCATTGGTGCCTGAAAGTTTTGTCCATTTCTGAGGACACTTTTTCACCTTAGCTTCATCTGTTGGTTTAATGAAAGAGTTCACCTCTCTGAAAAACCTTGCCTCATTTACTTCCCTGGATCATATTAGCTCCTGCTGCTGAAAAAGTCAAATACTTGATCACAAGACAGGGCAGATGGTTGCACGGAGTTGTTCTGTGCTTTTGTGAGAAGTGCTAGCTTTTGGTCAGCTACTCTTAATTTTGCACAGTTAAAACCGGTT